GGGAGGTTTGCTAAGCACTCAAGAAGCTAGAGTCGCTCTCGGCTATCGCCTCGAGCGACTCTTACGCTTCTTTCGTGCTTAGCAACCTCCCGCGTGCATCCATAACTCAATAGTGTACGCTGTGGTGTTTACCATTTGTTAAATACATAATAAATTCAATGATCAAAAGCTACCATCTTACCTTGTTCTTGTGAAGGGAATAACTATTCTGGCTAACGTCGTGCATATAATAAGTATAATTTGTACAATGGCGAGCACCACTGTGAGAAATTTCGATAAAAGCGCTTTAGCCTGAGCACTCTGATCAAAGTAATCATCCAGCCCCATCATCTGTTGGCTCTGCTGTTGAAAGGCTTCTATTTTTAAAACCTGCGAAAAAAAAAATTAATAAAAAAAACAACAACAACAAGGTTAGGTCAGCTTACAAGCTAGAAGACCCACTGCATCCTACCATGGTTAATCTGGGTTTCGTCACAGAGTCGGGACATGAGCAGAATAAAGATGTTTTGTGTCTTGTCACGCGCGTAGGACCTAGGAAAAAGCTGAGTCCCAAATCTTGCGATTTCGCGCTCCAATACTTTTCCACTAAGCCACGGAAAATTATGCTAAGTGTTCATGTGTCATAGATAACACGCGCGCTGAATACTGAACACTGAAAGCCTTTAACACCTCAGCAGAATTGACTTAAATTATCACTTTTTTACAGAACAAGCTGACGGCACTGGACTGACCAAACAGTTCGCACTTCTACAATGTAAATCCCAATTCCGAGTCTCCGCTGTACTGTTCCATTATTCTCTAATTATAGCTTCCTCCCCTCAAAAATTTCAGATCCTAACTGGTGAAGTTTTTTTTAGCAAGTCCAGTAGCAACCTCATTCCCAGGGTCCTCTCTGCCCGATAGTAAATGAAAAACGCACGGTTACCCTTGTGACGTAAGAATCCAGCGCTTCCTCGATCTCGTTTGCTCGTTCCGCTGACCGGTATTCGATTCGTTCAATCCGCTCCTCGGCTCTTTCAAGCTCTTGTTTCACGGTTATCATCTATTGAGAATAAGGAGGAAATAATCTTCAACCACTGCTTCACTTCAACAGGAAGTGGTTACCAAAGAAACCGAAGGCTTCCACTGAGTCCAGCAAACTGGAAGCCTCCAGATACCGCAACTCAGGCTCGAGATACCGCAACTCAGGCTCGAACTCCCGCACGAGGCACCCACGGAGACTGATTTGATCAGGGGAAGGAAAAACATTAAGGGGAGGGGTGGGAGAGACAGATACAAACACTACAAAAACTCCTCTTCAACAATCAAGTCTAACCACATTCTATGTGAGCCTACACTTGTGACAGTGACGACTGAAGAACGTCCCCTAAGCTTGGGATGGGAGATCTAAAGACATCACATCATATTATTGTTCATAACTCTGGTGCTTAAACTTAATTCCCAATTAGTAGATGTCAGCCTTACCCCAGCACCCTGAGAGTAGTTCAGAACTAACCTCGTTCTGACGTAATTCTGACACGTCGTTCCATTCCGTTGTAATGCTTTTTAGTGAATCTCGCAGTTGCTAAAGAAACAGTGTTACTTTTCTTTAGATAATTATTTCTAAAATGACTGGACTAAAAAAAAGAAACTGTTATCACTTCAGGTCTCGACACTAACGGTAGCCCACTAGCCACAGACTAGTAGAAATTCAGTTTTGGCTAGTGGTTTTCAGTTTCCACTAGCCAGTCTGGCTAGTAAACAGACTGAAATTGTCGTAACATCTAAAAACATCTAAGATGTCACTAGCCACTTGGCTAGTAAGTTGAAAAGTTAGTGTCGAGCCCTGCTGACTTTTTCAGTGACTGTGATGCATTTTGTGAGCTAAAATGGTGATTTTGGCATGCTAAAATGCTGGCACGCTCACGTAATTGTTCAGAGTATTTTGTTGCCACTTTTTCAAAGTCATCTTAACCTACACCTGGCGGCTCGGGCTAAAATGACTCTCAGTCGGGCCAAAAACATATCTATGCCCGCGAACATAGAGTCCATTGTATTTTAGTAAAATAAGAATTTGTAAATTTGAACCCACAAAACACGCGCGCGCAAGGTAAAAAAAAAAAAAAAAGATTCCCGTCTACTTCATTCATTCTCTTTAAAGTTTAATATAGTTTCCTATCTGAAATTGGGTTGTTAAGTGATCTGCTCAAGAGCACACAGCATAATCAAAGGACCTGGGTTTGAACCAAAACTTCTCGTTCCTGTCTCCAGCGCACTCACCGCCTTCATAATGCAAATGTCATAAACAGAGTACACGACGTTGCTTAGGCACAAGGACTCAAATGAAAACTGCGGGCTCAGGAAAATTTATTGGTGTGGAACTTAGATAGGAAAGATATCGCACTAGCCAAGTAAAAGTTTACATGAACCTTAATTATAACAAATATCGCTCACTAGGTTTGACAAAGGCAATGATTAGGAATCCTTCATCAGTTGAAAAATACAGAACACAAACAAACCTCGGATTTGCATCTTTCTTCTTGGAGTGATTCAGCCACAATATCTAACTGAAGCTGAAAAGAACATGTATATTCACGGTAAACATTCAAAAACACATACTCCAATTTTTTTCAAAACCATCAAACAAGAATTTTTCCTTGATGCTTTAGATGGCACTGTAATAAAAGCATTTTGTTTAATCTCCCCAGCCTGTAAATGGTGCTTGACTTAAATTACCTATACTATCCTTAATCCCTTGAATCCCATCCAGCTGACTCACTGTCTGCATAGCCTGCTTGCAGGCCGTAGTTCGTGTTTTCAAGCGCGATATACATCGCGGCGAACATTCGGTCGTCATGTTTAACGGGTGGAAGATTTGGGACAAGTGAAAAAGCGAGGGGGGGGGACAGACAGTATAACGGTGGTTTTCTCCACTTCCACCTCCCCCTCTCCTTGCCACTCGTCACAAATCTTCCACTTGTCCAATATGGCGACCGAATATTCGCCGCGCTGAATCTCGCGCGTGAAAACAAAATCTACCGCCTACGAGCAGGCTACTGCATGCACGTTTTACCAGCTGTGGTCCTTGGTCTCCATTATTGTAACAACTTTTCTTCTTATGAACTTAAGGTATATAATAAAAAACACGTCTTAAGAAATCTTCCCACTCTGTAAGAAACTCACCGTCAAGTTGTCTATTTGTTTTTTCAGCCTGGTATTAGTCTCACGCAGTTCGCTTATATCCTGCTCGTATGACGTTGGAGGACTGGGGGGGAGGCTATGACGTGGGCTGTTACCGCGGACTGGACCCCTGACAACGACACAGATGTACTTGAAATGAGTTTGTTGCCAATGATTTGTTTCCGAGGTTGGTTTCACTTAACTCATAAAATCACTCACTGCTACTAAGAAGAAGGCTAACAAACTACCCTTGGGAATAACAAGGGGTCTTCACGGTGAATATTAAGTCAATGGCAAAACAAATTCACGTTTGCAAACATCGTGACGTATTTTTCAAATGTTTACACAAATAATGAGTCATCTCAAGAAAAGCAAACTTGAGGGGTGGGGTGAGGAGCAATATGTTCCCATCATCGCTATTCAAGTATACCGGACTTACCCAATATGCGTAGCTGACGCTACACTCGACGAATCCTCGTCGCTGTTGTATCTCGCCGGACTGAAACAAAAAGGAATTAGTCCGAGTCACAATTTATAAATATTTCAACACATAACAAGGTCAGAGATCACCATGGGCTTGGCCATCGTGAACAGGTCACACCTAGTTCTGTCTCCTTCTGTCAACGCTAAAAAGCAAAATAAACCATCGGTGCTATACAGCAATGAACTTGAAACTCAATCGCTAGTTCCCAGATCGTGCTCTTCCAAATGTATGGTGGATATCAGTCGTGATATACGCCACTGTCACACAATCATAGAAAGTATTGCGTAAGGAGCCAAAACGTAAGCGAAGGACGACGCTGACACATACCTAAGGTTGGAATCTCCAACAAAACCCTCTTCACCTAAAGAACTGTTCGGTTCTTCTTCAAGGCCATCGATCTCTAAGATAAGTAAAAAAAAAACAACCCAATTCATTATCTAAATAACTCTTAAAAAGTGCGTTGGAAATTTAATTTAAACCAAAAAAATTTTCCTCTTTAGTCTCTATCAACGTTGATAACATAGACGGTATTAAGATATTAAGTCAGTATGACAGCCAGCCTGTCAGTCAGTCGGTTATTCATTTCGTAGGTCAGTGAGTCAGACAGTTAGTTAAATGATCAGTCAGTCAGATAGTCAGTCAGACGGTCAGTCAGTGAGATAGTAAGTCAGTCAGATAGTCAGCCTATCAGTCAGTCAGTCAATCAGATGGTCAGTCAGACAGTCAGTCAGTCAGATAGTCAGCCTATCAGTCAGTCAGCCAGTCAATCAGCCAGTCAATCAGATGGTCAGTCAGACAGTCAGTCAGTCAGATAGTCAGCCTATCAGTCAGTCAGCCAGTCAATCAGCCAGTCAATCAGATGGTCAGTCAGACAGTCAGTCAGTCAGATAGTCAGCCTATCAGTCAGTCAGCCAGTCAATCAGCCAGTCAATCAGATGGTCAGTCAGACAGTCAGTCAGTCAGATAGTCAGCCTATCAGTCAGTCAGCCAGTCAATCAGCCAGTCAATCAGATGGTCAGTCAGACAGTCAGTCAGTCAGATAGTCAGCCTATCAGTCAGTCAGCCAGTCAATCAGCCAGTCAATCAGATGGTCAGTCAGACAGTCAGTCAGTCAGATAGTCAGCCTATCAGTCAGTCAGCCAGTCAATCAGCCAGTCAATCAGATGGTCAGTCAGACAGTCAGTCAGTCAGATAGTCAGCCTATCAGTCAGTCAGCCAGTCAATCAGCCAGTCAATCAGATGGTCAGTCAGACAGTCAGTCAGTCAGATAGTCAGCCTATCAGTCAGTCAGCCAGTCAATCAGCCAGTCAATCAGATGGTCAGTCAGACAGTCAGTCAGTCAGATAGTCAGCCTGTCAGTCAGTCAGTCAGTCAGATAGTCCGCCTATCAGTCAGTCAGTTGGTCAGCGAGTCAATCAGATAGTCAGTGTTGCAATATGCTATTACATATTCAATTAGCCGAGGATTATTTAGATCATTATTCCATTCCCAGTGCGCACCATTCTTTGTTCATAGTTAATTAGCTGTTGATTGCGCTAAAAAAA